GAATCTGCACAACGGGGTGAGTTCCTGTTGCTCTGTCCCAGCTCCTGCCAACCTTGCGGTTCGAAAGCATGCAAATGCAAGTAGATGAAAAGGTACCACTCTGGTGGGCAGGTAACAGTGTTCTGTGCACTTCGGTGTTTAGTCATGCCAGCCACATGACCACAGAGACTGTCTGCGGACACACTCTGGCTCCCTCAGCTAGGAAATGGAAATGAGCACCACCCCCTAGAGTCAGGCATGACTGGACTTAATGTCAAGGGGAAACCTTTACCTTTACCTTTTTACCCTGTCCAATGTGTTGCGGGTCTCTGAGTATTCATTCCTTGCAAACTGAAAACTGAGATTCTGTCAGTGGTCCATCCTCTTGTAGAGAATGACAAATTCCCATCATCTCCCTTCTAAACTCATCTTTACCACCTGTATGTTTATGGTAGGGATGCAGAGCCAGGTCCCTCGTGGGACAGATTATATCAGATTGGATCCATGAGCTGGAGATTGGCACCCTTCCTTTGCAGGGTTTCTAGGAAAGCTGCTCCTGCTGAGATTCCTCTGCTATGAAACACATAAAAGTATAGGAGCCCTCTTTTTCTGGCAACTATATCGGGGGAAGAAATGGAAGTAATGACAGATTTTATTTTCTTGGGCTCCAAGATCACTGCAGATGATGACTGCAGCCATGAAATTGAATGATGCTTGCTGCTTGGGAGGAAAGCTATGGCAAATCTAGAAAATGGTCATCACCTTGCAGACAAAGGTTTGTATAGTCAAGGCTATGGTTTTCCCAGTTGTAATGTATGGCTGTGAGAGTTAGACCATAAGGAAGACTGAATGCCAAAGAATTGATGCGTTTGAATTGTGGTGTTGAAGAAAACTCCTGAGGGTTCCTTGGAGTGCAAAGAAATCAAATCAGTCAATCCTAAAGGAAATCAGTCCTGACAGTTCTCTGGAAGGACAGATACTGAAGCTGAAGCTCAGATACTTTGGCCACCTAATGAGAAGGAAGAACTCATTGGAAAAGCCCCTGATGCTGGGAACGATTGAAGGCAAAAGGAGAAGGGGACGACAGAGGATGAGGTGGCTAGATCGTGGCACTGATGTAGTGAACATGAATTTCGGTGAACTCTGGGAAACAGTGCAGGACAGGAGGGACAGGTGTGCTTTGGTCCATGGGGTTGCGAAGACTTTGCAACTGAACAACAGCAACAATATTCTTTTATACTCTTTGTTCAAGGCCCCACACATTTCCCAGATAAATTTCTATTTGGAAATGTCACTTGGCAGATGTTTTGCAGCATCTAAAAAATATAAAGATGTGCTTTGTATGCAGCAGGAAGCAGCATGTTTTGGTACTGGTATCTTTCTTTGGGAGGGCTGCAATGTCACAGGATCCTACAGCAACAAAAAACAAAACAAAACAATGTTGTTTACACACAGTTTATTAGAACCATGACCCATTTGCTTGCTTGATCTAACATCTGCACTGATTTTCACTTGCCCCAGGGAAAAACACAGAAAGACCAGTCTCAAGGGATAAGTGGGAGGAGGGCAGAGATATTTGATTACACTAACTCATATAACAGAGTTGGGGAAGCTTTTTCTTTTGTGGTCCACATTCCAGCCGGCGGCAAAAGCAGGTGGCATTACAGAGATACTTCTAAGATTTGCCCAGTATGCAACTTAATTAAGAAAGCCATTTACATCCAAACATTTCCTACACTTGTGTTAGGGTTCCTTTTTGGGGTTGGTAGTTAAAGCAGATCTGGATGAATAGCTCATATCATATCAAGAACTTGAAGGCTACTGAACTAATGTGATGTGAGGGACAGATCCTGGCTTTAGGAGAGAAGGCCTGGTCCAGTGAGAATCAGACTGGACTGAGAAGCCCGGAAGTCTGCCTTTGGCTCAGAACCCACTGAGCCCCCACCATGCAGTACAGAATTACATTCCTGAGTTATTATATGTATATCCTACCTTGTTTCCTCCACAGAGCCCAAGGCAGCTTACATAATCCCACCTCCTCTCCACTGTATTCTCATAACAACCCTGTGAGATTAGGCCGAGTGCATGATTGGCCCAAAGTTACCCATTGAGCTTCATGGTCAAGTGGGGACTAGAACCCCGATCTCCCAAGCCCTATTCCAGCACTTGAAGCCCTGAGCATGCTGGGTCTCTGGATGCCATGTACCTCAACAAGGTTGGCTGCCCAGAACTGATTGGAGTTGGACTCCAACAACACCTGGAATCCCACAGGTGTCCCACCTCAGTTTCAAAGCCCCATACACCTGTCAGGAATAACACGGCCATCCTAGAGGGACTGTCTCTTGAACACATTTGGGAAATACGGAACGCCTTACTGGGCTCAGGATTATAAGGATCTGTCAGTGACCCAAGTCTTGTATGTCACCGATTTATGCAGAACATTTTCCCCACATATGCAGTCATGGGAGTTAAAAAGCCCAACAACAACAATCGCCCTCCTGCATCTTCAAAGAAAGAAATTTATTGTGTGCAGCACAGTGACGGGACTTTTTCTGCCTAAGCACGCACAGGATTGGGTCCCAAGCTAAAGGAGTGTCCACATTTTAAAGGCTTAAGAAACACTCTTGCAGTTCGTCCAATCCTAACCACATCTGAACATGAAGGATTTTCTCACTTGCCCAGCTCATTGTTCTGGAAGCTTCAGAAAAAAGCCTATGCTGCATCTGGAGCATGGAAAGAACTGCCAGATTCCGGGAGGATAAGGCAACACAAAGAATGACCTTACGCGCAGAAGGATCAGAGGTTTCTTCACAGCATGGTGTTTGCTGTGCAAACATACAATAGGTGTATGCATTGTACTGGCCTGCGTCTCTTCCACAGGAGCAGGGTGACACCTTGTGGTTGCACCATAGAACGGCACAACCACAAAGTCATCGTTTGCTCTCCCCTTTCAAAGAGCCTGGGCAAATGCTGGTACAGAGATGAGCCAATGTGGGGAACAAGTCCACAGAGATTCCAGAGTGTGCCAGGATATATTTAAGTGTGGGTGTTTGTTTGCATGTATGTGCATGCAGGGGGAGGGGCTTATTTTGGTACACACATGATTTCCATGGTGTAATTCATCCTGCTGCTCCTCCAGTTTAACTCCAGAGTGAAAACAAGCTTTGCTGGTGGTGAGTGGTCATCAGACATCTGTAGTTTGGATCAGACAAATACTTACAGTTCTGCTTGTGATTTCCTTGCCATGGAGCTCCATGGAGATATGGCTCATGGGAGATTTTGTTCTAGATTTCCCAGCAGCCAAACAGATCAGCATTGCCCCTCATTGGTGCCACTGAAGAACACGCAGCCAGCAGATGTCTCTCAGCTGGCAATCAGAGAATTTGGCTGGCTGCTGCAAGCAAAATATGGGCAAGATCCTCCTGCTCCTTCTGCTGAGTGGGGCCTGGAATCTACCCTGAATGCTTGATTTATAGACAGTCATCCAAGACGGGAGAAGCGTAAGAACTCAGGGCTGACTGGGAGAATCCTCCATGGAGAACAGAGTTCTCCTGAGCCTCTCCCAGAATTTTGGAACTCATGTGCCCCCCCATATATTTGCAGACCCCTTTCCATCATTCTGACTGAACTGAGATGGTCCAGAGAAAGGGGGCTACTTCAGGGAAAAATGATAAGGATGTGGGGGAAGAGGATCAACCCAATATTTTGCAAGCTACGGTGAAAGACAAGATTGCTTCCTTAGATTCCACCTCCAGAAGCTGGTTTTACTAGAATGAAACCTGACTCTTTGTTCAGAACTGGGGAAGAGATAACGCTCTTCACCATGCCTGAGATGAGAAGTCTTCTTCAGGGTAGGGGCATTGGCAGGCTGTGTGGAACATCGATCCAACAAAGGGGAACAGCTGGGGGGACTCAGGAAGAATGGATGGTGAGTGGTGCTGCCCCCCCAACATCCCCTGAGGCAGTCGCTCACTCGGCCTAATGGCAGGGCTGGCCCTGGTCAACAAGATTAAAGGAAGGACATCCTTGCACATTGCATAGTTGGAGTATGGAGCTTGTTGTGGCAACCAGTGTTGATGGCTCTAAAAATTGACTGCACAAATTCAGGGAAAATAAGTCCCCACGAATATACATTGCCCCCATTATCAGAGTCAGTATGGCAGCTACTGAGCCATTTAAGTGGGCAATTGGATTTGCATTCATGTCCTGCTTGTGGGTTTCTACAAGCAGCTGGCTCATCACTGTGTGGACAGAATGCTGAGCTACTATGACACTTGGTCTGATCCAGCATGACTCTTCTCGTATTCCTAAAATAAATAACAAATTCTTGCTCTTTGCTTAGCAAAATAAGACAGTTTGAGTCGAGCAGCCCTGGGCAGGGAAGAATGTTTCAGCGATCCCAGAAAATAAGGAGTACAAAGTAGGCAAGTCGATACCTTCCATGGATCCTATTTTTGTGACTGTACCTTGAAGTTTGAACAACAGACAGAAACTACTGAACAGAAACCACTGAAATATTAATACTGCTTGCATGCAACATGGAATCACTGATGGACTTCAGAACCTCTGAAAATGTTTTCATGATGAAGCTGTTATCTACAGCAGCTTGGCTCATAATACAGGTGTGCAATATGTTGAAATACAACTGCATGTAACTGGAAGGACTGAAACATAAGCCGGTTGTGTTTCCACCTTTGACTTCATAAGGGAGAAGTCTCTCATTTTCCTTCATAAAAATTGCAGGATGCTTGTAACTTCTCTCCCTCAGCCGCCTGTGGAAGGGGCAAACCCCGTGCTCACCAGAGCAGATGGGAAGCCACTTCAGGGGCACGGCCAGCACACACACATGTTGCGGAGGGGTTCTCCACCACAGAGCGATGGTGATGCACACAGACCACATGATGGGAACACCAGAGTGATAGCAAATCAGAAGTGAAGTGAGTCACCGCTTCTTTGACCATATCTGGCACTTTCTGCATTTTTTTCTCTGCCCCGCAGCCGCAAAGAATCTGAGGCAATGAAAAGTTTGAGCAGAGTGGAGAGGAAGAGCTCCGCCCAGGAAATCTAGTTTTGCATTCCTGAGTTGCTTTAGCAGAGGCTGATGGTGAGCGACTGCCTTGGTGAGTGTGAATACAATCCTCTTCCTTGTAGTTTACTTGTCAAGATGGGACTGAAACACTGTGTGTGAGCAAAGCAAAGATCAGAGCAGATGCTGCCAGTAGCCCTGGTGTGATGAAAGCCGCAGTCACTGGCGGGTTTGTCTGGCTGGGTTTGTTTAGTGAAATCTGGGAAATGTGTCTATCTTTCAGCTGTAATTATGAAGGAAAGATGTGTCCCTCACCCTCTTTCTTTCAGATTTAGTTGCATATATTCCCTCCCCTAGTAGCTAAGAGGACCACCATGCAAGGTAAAGGGGACACCCTCTATTTCTTCCCATTGTACTTCAAATGCCAGCATAGCTCCACCTGGTTTTGTACTCTTAAAATAGTCAGGAAATGACAGTACTACCTGGATTAAAATAAGTGGGAACATGCAGCAAAATCTTGCAGGATATCCCTGGCTCTTGACATAGTGCGCAGGATTCCAGGTAAGAACTGAAGCCTGTTCAAATTTGCAAGGAAGAGAGAAGCTTCAGGAAGCATGGAGAGGAAAAGAGACACCTTTCTTTGCTACCCTCTGAAGTTTCCCTTGGTGGATTAGAAGACTCATGTTGCAGCTGAGTCAGAAGGATCTCTGGAGAGTCACCCCCAGTCGGAAGTGATGCAGCACTAGGCTAATTAGGCAATAACCTGCCCTGGTGTTAGGGCTGGCTTCTTTGTTCCTCCAGAGCCAGAGGGCTTGGGTTTGGAGCTGCCACTCAGAATGTGGTGTGTGGGATTCCAGAGGGTAGGAAAGTGGAGGGATGGCGTTTTCCTTTCCTTCCTCCTAAAGCATCCCAGTGCGGAGGAGAGATGCAAGTCTCAATCCCACTGCACACATCCCCCACAACTGTACGTCACACTTCCCCAACCTGGTATCCTCCAGATATGTTGATTCACATCTCCCATCATCCTGAGTCAGCTCAGGCAATGGTGGGGAGTTGTTATCCAACTCTATCACTTGGAGTGCAACAGCTTTGGAAAGCCTGCTACAAGTTGTGAAAGGCTTTGGACAAGTTAATTTTCTTCTTCCTGTCTAACTATTTTCTTTTCTCACCAGCACCTCTGCTCAGCCTGATCTATTTTTCTCCACTTTCTACATATTCTGGAAGCTCACATTCTGGCTTCTTCCTCTTTCGGTCTACAAAGGGCACAGTACATCTTTTTGCATCCCTAGAGAGTTGACCGAGCATGCTGAAACTTCTCTCTTTTGCTTGGGTGGGCCTGCATTTTTTTTCAAAGCTTATAGTAAGCTCTTGTGGTAGCATATCTATTAGAAGAAATGGTATCTGTGGTGTCCAAAAGCAAAAGTATATCTCCTTTCCTGTGTGATGGGGAGATAAGAACAAATCCAATTTTCCATTATTCTTTAATGGGATGTGCAAGGTGCAAATTACCTAGACCGGACTCGATAACAGTTTGTATGTGTTTGGGCCAAACAAGACATCCCATCACCCCATTTATGCATGGTTGGGATGTTGTGGATATGGAAATTTTGGAAGCACACAAAGGGGGTGATGCACACCAGGAACTTGATGGAGGTCCTTTGACCTCCAGTTTCAGTCTTGATCCAAATAAGAGGAAAGATCTCGTATTTGTCTTCCATTTGTGTCAGTGGAAACCTTCCATGGGGGGACTCAATCTGGACCAGTACTATAGAGGGAGGGAAGGAATTAGCAGTGGAGACAGGTAACCTCAGTGTCAGTGGGGTTCCTTATCTATTGCAGCTTTTACCCTGAGCCTATCTGTGGTGCTGAACTACATGCCCCAAACAGGTTTGCCACCATGGAACAGCAAGGATAGCTCCAATAAAGCTCAGGGTAAAAGCTGCATGGATAAGGAGCACTACCACCATATGAGTCACTGGCCTCCCCGTGTCTTCTCCAATTCTCCCCTCCCTACATACATCCCTTTGCCCACCAGCCCCACCCCAACACACCAGGCTCCTAATCCAGAAAAGTTCCCCTTCATTGCTTTGCTTTTTAAAGCCATTGAAGGTGCAATCCTATGGAGGTTCGAACTGGAAAAATGCAGGCAACCCCCAGCAGGCCCCAGTCAGCCAAGACAGGAGTTGTGGGACCTTTTTCCGTCTGAACCTGCTCAGGATTGCATGCTAATTCAACTGCGGCCGATGCCGTCTTTAAGGTGCCACAAGACTCTTTGACTTGTGCAGCAGGTTAATCCCACTGACAGGGAAGCTGCAGCAGAGTGTCTCAGCAAGGGGTAGGGAGAGAATTTAGAAACAGGGTTGCACCTAAGGGGACAGCAGAGGCAGAACTCACCCAGTATGAATCACAAGTCTAGATTCCTTTCCAGCAGTGTGTTGACTTGCTTCCAAATGAGAAAGTTACTGGCAAGAGCCCTGGCTGCCCTCCCCCGCTGACCACAGCCTGGCATCTTGCAACGGCACCATGGCTGATGTGGTCTTGAATGCAGAGGCTGGCCGGTCAGGAGCCAGCAAGGGTGTGGGGCACATGACCAGCCTCCACTGGCAGTTAATGCTGTAAAACACCAGTCTCTTGCAAATGCTACAAGCAGCAGGGGCAGCATGAGGAAAGCCCAGCTGGATCAGTCCAAGGTTCTTCGGTTCAGCAAGCTCTGCCGAACTGTGGCCAGCCAGAAGCCAACAGGAAGCTTTCAGGGAGAACACAAAGGCAATGGTCCTGCCCCATCCTTCGTATTCAGAAGCTGATCTTTGAAGACATGCATAAGAATGTACAAAGGGCCTGATGAAGCAGACCAGAGGCCAATCCAGCTCAACATCCTGTTTTCTGCAGTCCTGCGGCTTAACCAGCATCCTGTCTGCAACAGTCAAAAGCACACAGATCTGTGTAACATTTGCAGAGGTGGGGACTACCTCTGTGGCATGTTTGATACCCCTAACTAAGATTCATTTCTCACCAGATCCCTGGAGCCATGTACACAGCAGTCCCCAAAAGGTAACAAACTCTTTCGATTCTTCCCCCACCCAGAGGCTGATAACCATTTTATTAAACAAAAGATTTGTGGGGCAAGGGGGAGGGAAAAGACAACTTCTCTGGCTCGTAGGGTTGGATCAGCACAAGCGTCCCTCTGGTCCACCATTCTGTCCACACTGTGGCCCATCAGCTTCCTGGGGGAAATCCACAAGTAGGACGGAGGTGCCACACGACACAAAGGTTGTGTTCTGGTGACTAGGACAGGTGCTGAGGACAGCCATTGATCACCTTATATCTCATCCCTGCCTTCTGCACAGCAACTCTTTCACTTCACTCCCTCACCCAACACATCGTTAATCTAAGGAATCCATTTATTCAAGATGTAGTGACGGCCACCACGTTGGAAGGCTTTAAAAGGGGATTGTATAAACTTGTGGTGGAGGAGGCGGCGATCCACGGCTCTTAGTCCAGAGGGCCATGTGTCACCTCCTGGTTCAGAGGCAGCAATACTAGTTGCTGGGGCACATGGACGAGAGCAGGGGTCCTCAAACCTTTTTGACAGAGGGCCAGCTGAAAGGTGCCGGTGCCGGTGCCGGGCGCGGGCTGGAAAGGCGGTGCTGGCGACGTGCGCAGGCTGGCAAGGGGGCGGAGGCAGGGGCGGCACGTGCGGGCGCTGAGTCAAGGGTGGGGCGCGCGGGGGTGGCGAGGGGAGGCAAGGTGGGGCGGCACGCGCGGCACGCGCGGCACGCGCGGCACGCGCGGCGAGGCAGCGGCTGGCTCGCTTGGAGATCGTTTTCTCCGAGCGAGTCCAAACCGGTCTTCATGTGAGCCAGCCGCTGCCTCCCTGCACGCGGGGCGCGGCAAGTCTGAAACCTCTGAGGCGGGCCAGATAAATGGGCATGGTGGGCCAGATCCGGCCCGTGGGCCCTCGTTTGAAGACCCATGGACTAGAGGGCGCTGTTGCACCCATGCGCTTCTTATTGGCTTCGCATGGGCAACTGGATTGGTTTTTTGTTTATTAGGTTTATATTTTGCCTTTGGTTGAACAGAATGCTGGGTTACATGGACCTTGGTGTGATCCAGCAGGGTGGCTCTTGTGTTCAGGACATGCATCTTATTGTCTGTTTCTGTTTTGTCCTCTCCATCCTCCAATTCATCTCCTCCTTCCATTCTGGCTGGCAGTGGCTCTCCCTTCGATGCTTCTGTTAAAGAGCCAGGCCTACATATCTGGCGAGTGGAGAAGATGAAGCCCGTGTCTGTCCCCGAAGAGATGAAAGGCATCTTCTATACTGGGGATTCGTACCTAATTCTTCACAATGGAGCTGATGAACACTCCTGTGTGCACATCTGGATTGGTGAGTGTTGGCGAAATCCAGATGAATCCTGGGAGAAAAGGTTGCTAATATGTGCCTTTGTGTTAGAAACTCAAGCCTGCAACATCTCTGCATCTCTTTCTCAGAAAGTACCAGAATTTCAGGACAGGCTTCTGTTTAGTGTTATTTTCAAAGCTGTTCCTTTAAGAGATGACTACTACTTTTGTTTGGAAAAGCCTTTGCAGAAGGGGGTTCCCAAGGAAGGTTAACCCCTGTCTATCCTTGTTCTAAGAGCAAACAGACTGTTAAGGCTGCCAGACAAGTTTTTCTAGCAGTATTACAGTCACCTTCATTTACAGGCCAAGACTATCAATAATCCCGGTGCCTCAGGGTTAACCTCTCACCTTCTTTTGACTGTGTCCCTCTTATTTCATCATCAACTGCCCAGACAATAGATATTTCACCTGCCCTAGTACAGCACAGATGGTCAGTCCACACACACACAGGATGTTTGAAAGTGGCTGAGAAGGGACCTTCTTCTACATTATCCTCTTTGTGTCCCTATCAGGTGGATTGAGGGCTGTGGCTACTAAGGAGAAGGCCTTCTTGGTGGTGGCATCCAGGCTCTGAATGGTGCTAACTTCTAGTGCCTTCTCTGTGTTCTTTTCAGTGCGGGTTAAGACCTGCTATTCACGGGGGTTTTTAGAGGAACTCTGAGCTCCCACTGTTTTCAAATGAGTTCCAACCTGAGCTGCTAATTGTTTTGCATTGCCTCTGCTAGAAGAAACCGTCAGGGTCTCTGGCAGGGCACTCCAACTCCCCATTCCTGGTTTTTCTTTTTTCGTTTTCATTTTATGCACAATCTGCCTAATCTTCACTGGGCTGGGGCAGAGGATTGAGAAGTTCTGGCCCTCCCTGAGGCATTTGGGAAACGTTTGTTTGCCCAGCTTGCTGATGCTTTCCTTTTGTTTCCCTGGGTCCTTACATCGTCCTGTTTCTGTTGGCATTCACTGCCTGACTTCACCATTAGAGGGGAGAGATACATAAGCTAGAAATAGTTACTAGAACAATCTGCCAGTAGCCAGAAGGTTGAATTTTCCTCAAAAGTGGAACTGTCAGATCCTTGCTGTCTCCTCTTCTCCCAGGCCAGAATTCTTCCCGCGATGAGCAGGGGGCGTGTGCACTGCTCTCTACCCACCTCAACTCCTTCCTGAAGGAGAAGCCCATCCAGTACCGGGAAGTGCAGGGCAACGAGTCTGACGGCTTCATGGAGTACTTCCCCCACGGGATCAAATACCAGGTGAGAGAGCCCCAGCCTGACATGCTTTCCCACATCGCTGGCCTTTCTGAGGCTGCTCACTGGGAGCACAACCGGTAGGAGTTGGGGCTGATACCATTTTGAAGCAGCCTGAGTGCGCCACTAATAAGGTGCATAAGGTGTTCTCTGTGCGGTGCTTCAAACCTGCTGCTTTAGCACAACTTCTGCCTCCAGACTCTGTGGGATTAAGACCATCTCTTTGACACACACGTGTGTGTGTGTTACGGGGGTTTTGTTTCTCTGCATGTCTATACGTTCCACTATACAACCATGAGGTGACACTACAATATAGCCAAATGGCAAAAAAGAGAGGTGCTCCTCATAGCACAATTCCCAGGTAATATTACAATTTTGTTCACTTTAAAAGAGCTAGAGAAATATTTCGAAAGTACAGCAAAGACCCTGGAGGAGGACAGCATCAGGCAAAGCACCCGCAAATGAAGAATCACGAGCACATAAGAAATGCCACAGGGACGGTGTCCTTATGCTATTTCTGTGACATACAATCTGCCTTATTTGCAGAAAAGGGGACTCGGGCGGCTCACTCAAGTTCCTCAAAAAAGCCATAGCATATTAAAACAAGCATGTACCACACCCATGGCAGTATAGTCCTTAAAACAACAGTTCCCTCCTCACTACCCCAATACTAACATTAACCAATATTAACCAATAGGAACAGTCCATTTCTGGGAAAAGTGGAATAGCATTAAACCCAATGAGAATAGCGTATTCAGCTGAAATCCTTCTTGAAAAGCCATGTTCTTACCAGCCATCTGAAGCCATGAAGATGAAGTGAATGACTAGATTTCAGGTGCTTGTTTCCAGCAAGGCTTTTGTCATCTAGTCACCATGTTTCACGCATGCAATTTTACAGGTGTTCCAGATGTCATCGTCAATTGTTAACTCTCCCATGTTTTCCCACTGCTTCTTCTGCCATTTCTTTTACCGCAGAATGTCCATTAATGAGAAGGCAGTGCATTGTCCTCTAATGAGCAATTCCAGGAGCCATCCATCTGGAAACACCAGATCTCATCTGTAAATATATTCAAACATACTGATTATTCAATCCAACCTACCTCACAGGGCTGTTGCATAGGTAAAATGGGTGCGGAGAGAGCTATTTTATTTGTTTAGTTTTACATGTATAGCCCACCTGTTTTCCTCTTGTAAAGAACCCAAGGAAGAAATCTTTTCATCCTCAAAACAACCCTGTGAGGTAGATTAAGCTGAGAATCCACCACTGGACTTTCTGGTTAAGAGAGGAACAGAACCAGGTTCTCCTGAGTCCCAGCCAACACTGACCTTGCTGGCTATGGATGCTAACTTGACCTCTATGGAAGATAAGAATATAACCACACTAATGAACTAAGACGGTGGTTTCCTTGCATCTTTTCCCTCCTCAAGCAGGTCTGACTTTTCCCTTGTTCTGCCTCCTATCTCAAAGTGCCTCCTAGATTCTGCTGCTTTCTAGACCTGAACCTTCACCTGTGCTCCACAGGAAGGCGGTGTGGAGTCTGCCTTTAACAGAACCCAGGCCAGCCAACAGCCCGGCCTTGTCCGCAAGCTCTACCAAGTGAAAGGGAAAAAGAACATCCGGGCCACGGAAAGGGAACTGAGCTGGGACAGCTTTAACACTGGTGATTGCTTCATCCTGGACCTGGGTGAGGTGAGTCTGGAGAGAAGAGGGCAGAGGCGCATTGCCAGTGCTGGAATCAGGGCTCAGCCCTACTGAGGGCTCACAGCCCAGCCAGGCAGTCTGAACTGTTCCTGCTGCCCCACCACACGCTCCCTCTGGCCCAGGTAAGTGTGGTGGTTAGAAGGAAGGGGAGCAGGAAATGCCAAGGGCTTGCTTGTGGGCTTCCACCCTGTCAAGCAAGCCAGTGGTAGCAAGGATGAGGGCAGCGAAAAGATGGAGGGAGGGGGCTCCCTGAGGCACAACTTGCCCTCATGGCAGGGGCAGGCTTCCATCCTCTGACTTCTCATTTCAGACCATCTTTACTTGGTGTGGGGCAAAATCCAACATCCTGGAGCGCAACAAAGCTCGTGATTTGGCAACAGCGATTAGGGATAGTGAGAGAAAAGGGAAGGCCAAAGTGGAGATCATTGCCGACGGCGAAGAGCCACCAGAAATGACCGCGGTAAGATCCTTGCAGAAGGGGAAGCCATACTGGGGGGAGACAGTGCATCAGTCTTGCGGAAAGTGTCGTTATAGGCTATGCAGTAGAGATGGGGGCTTTTTGATGGTGGCCCCATATTTGTGGGACTCCCTCCCTATATATTTCCTACCAACTTTACTGGCTTTTAAAAGGCCCTCAAAAACCACCTGTTTGGATCTGTTCTCAGCATTCCCTGTTGCTTATTCTAGGTCCTGGGTCCTAAGCCAGTTCTGAAAGAGGGCAGTCCTGAGGAAGACATCATTGCTGATCAGAAAAATGCAGTCACAGCTGCATTATACAAGGTAATAACTCAAAGAAAGCCCCGAAGTGTACAGCAGGTTTCGATTTTGTTGCCCTCCGCTGCAAGACTGTCCTCCTGTGGGGTCCCTCTGACATCAGCGTATCTCCCTTCTTCCCCCATTCTGTGGATGGGAACGTGAACTGCCTACCTTCTTTCTGCACCATGCCCCAGCGTGATGCATAAGTCGGGGGCATTGTAATCAAAATGAAAGGCACTTCACAGACCCAACCAGCAGCACAATGGGCTCTGCGGGGGCCTTGGCTGCTGCCCAGGCATGCTGGGTGCTGGTGCCACTTATGCTTCCGGGGTGCCTAAAGATCCATCTAGTGCACTAGCTTGTTTCGAATGTGGCTGGGCAGATGTAACACTTGACGCAAGAGCCCTTCCCAAATGTCTGTCACCACAAAATAATTACTATCAGGTTTCACTTATCCATCCAGACTATTAGCCATTGCTAGACCCAGGACTTTGTCTAACCTCCTTTCAAAGCTATCTGTGTCAAGGGCAACAAGGGTGGCAACTTCTGGCCCTCCAGACGTTTTGGCCCACAGCTGCCATGATTCTTCACTGCTGCCTATGCTGCCCAGAGCTGATGGCCGAAGTATCAGGTGGGCCAGAGGTTGAAGTGCCCTGAATTTACCACCAAGCATTTCAGGGGGCGACAAGGCCTACGGATTCTATTGGCTTTACCAGCATCATGCAAAGCTGCAAGCAGCTGACTTCTCTTCCAGCCACTATTTTGTACCTAGTGATGCACACACTCCAGCCACTACTCTGAGTCAGGATCTAGCTGGTGGGATCCTGCAACAAGTAAGACCCCACATGCTTGCCTCCTTCTCTTTCTTTCTCAACTCCCAGGTCTCGGATATGACAGGGAAAATGAGCCTGACGAAAGTCTCGGAGTCCAGTCCTTTCTGCCAGGACCAGCTCATCCCAGATGACTGTTTCATCCTGGACAATGGCCAGTGTGGCAAGATCTATGTTTGGAAAGGTAACAGATCCCAGATGCCTCTAGGAACAACCTCAATGCCTAGTCGAGGACCAAACATGCAGAATAAATGTCCAGTTAAGAGTGGTACCAGCTGGGAGGCCCGACTGTGTGGTGTGGACCATTCGGATGCATTCTTCCAATGGCTCTGCAGTGAAGTGCTTGCTCTAAAGCAGGGGGTCTCTGGTAGAGAAAAAGGGCAGTGAGACTCTGTTGGAGAGCCTGCCAGTCAAGGTTACACAACCTGTAAGCCACCTAGGAAGGCCTTGGCAGTTATAGGTGGCCTATAAATGCATGCATGCATGCATGCATGCATGCATGCATGCATAAATGTTTATCCATCCAGGTTAAATAAACAAACGTGGAGTCAGGTAGGCAAATCGTTTGTCCTGGTTCAAGGCAGCTTCCTATGCCCTGGTGTGTCTTTTGCATTCGAAAGCTGTGAATCTATGCCTATATGAAGTTGATGTAGCCCACAAAAGTTATTACTAGCCCGCTTGGGGGTGTCAGAAGAGGGACAGAAAACTGTCACTCCACCAGTGACTAGATGCAATTCCTGCACTGGGCTTGGGGATCTTCTTTTCCCAACCTGCTTTCTAACCCGCATACCACTCCTTGTCTTCTTTGGTGATCAGGCAATTGTTTAACTACAAGGCTGGTCTAGAAGGACCTTCTCTGTGGTGGTGCCCCAATTGTGGAATTCACTCCCTGGAGAGGCTCTCCTGGTGCCATCATTTTATTCTTTTTGGCACCAGGATAAAACCTTTATTTCCCCAATGTTTTAAGATTTGATCATCTTGACAGGGGTTTTATTGCTGTTAGGAAATTTTATTAGGATGCTGTGTTTGATTTTATATTGTTTTATTGTTAATCCATCCCAAGACTATGCGATGGGATGGTCTAGAAAAGTTTTAAATGAAACAAACAAACAAACAAACAAACAAACCCAAATTCAGCCCTGCTTGTCTAGTATCATTGTCTCTCTTAACCCTTCTAACCCTCCCTTCCATGAGCAGGTCTGAAAGCCAATGAGCAGGAACAGCAGGCAGCTCTGAAGGTGGCAGAAAATTTCATCTCCCAGATGAAGTATCCCTTGAACACACAGGTGAGTAAGCAGAGGTTGCACAAAATTCCCAGAAGGCTCCCGTAAAGGAAGACCACCCCTCCGGTTCTGGGTGCCATGCTTTACAAAACAAGCAGACCAGCAGGGGTAGCAAATTTTAGGTTGGGGCTGGCAGTAGTTGAAGTCCAAAATATTTGGAGAGAACCTAACTGGAAAAGGTTGTAATAGACAGATCCATGGGCACCTTCTGCCAATGTCTAATTCCCCTTTTTCAGACAGTGGCCATCCCCAAATTTTGTGGCACCAAGTTCTAGCAGTCACTTCTATATCGTGTGAAGTACTTGCATTGGCCCAGAAGTACGGCACCATTCCCCGGGAAGGAGCTGAAAAATTATCTTGAAGAAGTTATCTTTGAAGCACTGCTCCTCTTCTTCCTACCCAGTGGGACAACACTTACGTGTGTGTCCTCATGAGTTGTCCTCGTGACACGTGCTTTAATCCCTCTTGCAGGTGGAAATCTTGCCGCAAGGCCGTGAAAGCCCACTCTTCAAACAATTCTTCATCAACTGGAAGTGAAACTCAACTCTAGCAACCTTGAGCTAGCAATCTTCCGTACATGTGCCTTACTCTGCATCAACTATTATGCCTTATTAAACTGGAGCTGCTGCATCCTTTCGAACTGGCTTCTTTGTCTGAAGTTGCTTTTGTCCGGTTCCTTGCACTCCAGACCCAACAGGGGAGTGTAGCTGAGTTACAGCACATGTACATTGCATGCAGAAGTCTGAGCTTCCACCCTGGCAGCTACAGCTGGGTCTCAGAAAGACCTCTGTCTGGGACCTTGGAGAGCCGCTGTTAATCCGAGTGAAATGTTTTTTCCCTTTGCTGTGTCTGATCCTTTAGGTGTGTCAGGAAGGGGGACTACAACTTCAGTGATGTACACTGATGTTCCTAGCCTTGGGACCGTTTCCAAATCACAGGGTTGGATCCAGACTTAGCATGGATTAAGGGCACCAATAGGAATGGACTTCCACACGTTATCCTTCTTAGAGAAACTCCTACAGTCCCCTGAAAATGCTGCACCTTGCTTGAATGGGGTGAGCTGTGGCATAGGTGGGGAAGGGGAACCCCAAAAAATGGGTAGAGAGGCCTCCTGTAAGCAAAGTTCTTTTTAAAGGTAGGCCATCCTGAACTCAACCCACTCACCCTCGCTGCGCCTTTTGCGGCCCCTGCCAAATTCAGTGCAGGCAGAAACAACAGGGAAATGGTGCTTTTTTAAAATGGCAATTTTAACCCCAAAGAGCACTAAGCAGGACAAACTCAGCTTCAGAACCAACTAAATTAGAGCTGTTTTGCCTGAGGTTTCCCTCCAGATTCTTTTGGGTGGCTAACAGAGAACTCAACAGCCTGTCAGCAAGGGTAGCGGGTGAAAGGGCCTGGACACTTCCCCCAAAGATACACAAATTAAAAAGGAAAGATATCAGGGAGTATACATTATAGGTTAAAAAGTCAAGGGTTTAAAACGAGGACTAGACTGTCCTCTACAAAGGATAGAAAATGCCTGAGTAAGTTAACAATGGTGGTGAACTTGTAAAGGAACTACAGGTGCTATTCTGCATGCTTCTAGTCCAGTGGGATCTAAAAAAGGGATTTTCACTGCCATCTGCTTAGGAGCAGCTGCCTGGTGCAAAAGCGCTTTGCTTTCCTTCCCCCTTTCTAGCAGCATTCAGCAGGCTTTCCATGTTCCACCATGCAAAAGTGACTAATCATTCCACACTAAAAGGAAAGAACAGCAAAATAGATCATTTAACATTAACTTTAATAACTGCCAATACACGCCCATAATGTTTGAGGCCCATTTTGTGCCCCTGTGAAGACCAGACCTTGGTACACGTGCCCAATCATCCCACCCAGCTGGTGAAATATCTCGTGTTTAACCCTTTTCTTTTACTCTCATTGGGTTTAGACAATGCAATAACAGTCAAGGTTGAGTGTGGATTGCTGTTGAATCATGAATTGTTCCTGAAACAAATGTTGGGTTATCATGTTGTCTGAATCCAACTGCACTGACAAGCCCTAGCTTGTTAACCATAAGCAACCCATGGTTTTTCCTGGGTTGTTCACCATGTAATAAACCACATCTCAACAACAACCTATAGTTCAGTGAGAACTTCTACTCAGCCCTCAAGCACGGATTACTGTGTTGCTTTACTGTGGTCTCTGAGAAGGTACACTAGAACACTTAACTCTGAGAAAGAGAAGAAGACAGGTTGTGAAAAAAAGTTTGAGGAAATAGTGAACTGGGATGGAGGGTGACCAAAAGTGAGGGACTGAACAGGCTGAAGAAAGAGCAGCATTCTACCTTCTCCCCAAGTTAGTAGTTAGATGCTTTGCAAGCAGCTGCCAGTAACAGAGGCCTGTGGTTACAGCCCGACACAAGTTTTAAGAAATAACCTGCCTCGGTAGACTATATAACTACTGGTCAACTTTCTCCTCTTTTAATGTTTGGGTGCTTACTTTAAATCATGTTTACATTTGAACGCTTGTTTTGCTTCCTTACCTCATCCCCTTCATTGTTAAATCCGTTCTAGTTCTTGTTTTGAAAGTTGCGTCACACGCTCCTTTTCAGGGCTTTTCAGGCCTGCATTTGTTTCCCTTAGCCATCCACCTGCTGTGTGAATCCAGATCCCTAGGTTTCTACAACCCTACAGGGTGGTGGGTAGGAAAAGCAGAGTTACATAAGAAACAAGGTTGGCTATGGACAGGGTGGGTAGGCAGGAGGAGGTGGGTGTAACCACAGGCGTTTTCAGACATACGCATCTGCCTTTAAAGCTCCATAAGCATCCATAAAATGTTGGATGTCGGGAATGTGATGGATGCCGCTCCATCCGTCCTGTCTGGATTCTTCTCCTCCGCCTCAGCTCCCGGTTCTTTCGACAACAGCCCCCATGGACTGTAGGCTACAAGGACGCTTTGTCAGTCAGCCGGGAGTTCTGAATCATTCCACAGCTGCGCTGATGGAGCAACTGCAGAAAGAGGCGGCTGTTTGTGTTGCTTATAGTGACTCAAGGTTTCTTTTCCCAAAGAGTGAGTCCATGCCCAGTGTCAGCAGTTTTGTGGAGGCACTTCGTGGTTGATGCGTCACTGCTGGAGAGAATTTGAACAGCAGACTGGTCACCCCCTCTTCCAGGTCACTGATGAAAAGACTGAACAGGGATCAAGTCCCAGGACAGAGCCCTGAGGGACCCCGCTTGTCACCAGCCACCATCCCGATGACTCCCCACTAATATCCCCATGGATATAAGGCTAACCGGCCTGTAACTCCCCATGTCCTCTCTACTACCCTTTTTGAAAATTGGGGCCACGGATGCCACTCTCCGTTCCTCTGGAACCGCACCATTCTCCACGAGGCCTCAAAGATGGAGGCCAATGAACATAAGAGCACCCCTGCCAACTCCTGAAGTACCTTTGGGTGACCATGCCTCCTTCCCCTGGCCCTACCGCCTCTCCCCAAACCACTAAATGCACGGAGATTTCTCAGGTTTTCCATGTTTTCCCCTGTTCTAAAACATTGAAATGCCTTTTCTAATGCTTAGTTACTGGCAGTAAGTTGTCAGCTAAGATATGCTGGTGCAATTTGGTCCTTCCACCACTGGAATGTTGCTCCCCAAGGGCTTCTCAGAAATGAAAGTTGGCCCTCCTGCCAAAAGAATTAATCCCCCCTGCTTTAGGCTCCCCCTTTAGGGCTTTGTGCACCATTTGAAGAAGCCCCCCCACCTCCTTGGTGCACAAGGGCCTGCAATTTCAGTCTGCATCCCAGAAGCCCAACAAATCCTATTCCACTGGGATGCTTCTTTGATTCTTCCCCTCTTCCTGCCACAGACGTGGCAACTTTAGTCAGTGCACCACAAACGATGCTTGCAGAGCAAGACCTCCTTTTGCCCATCCTAGGCAAATCTGTGGAGAGCCAGGAGAGCGGCAGGTAGGCAGTTGAGCAAGATGGAAGAGACTGCCTGGAAGGCAGAGCAAAAGCACACACAGCGCTCGACCTCTGGCTGTGGGCCCCGCAGGTCTGGCTGCAGTTCGGCTTCCAACGCAGGGCTCGTGGGCTTGTTCCTCGGAGGGAACAGTTCGCCTGTGCAATCCAGCCAGTCCTTGGCTATGGAGCGAGGGTAGCCCATCAGGGGCTTGAGGGTGTGTGAGTCAAACTTCCAGTACTCCCTGTCCTTGAAGGCATACAGCGTTCCTGTAGTGAGACAGGAGTGGGAGTGGGAGGGGGAGAGGACACCAGGGCAGAATTAACAGGGCATTGCAGAACAGAGATGGAGAGGTATTGCTGGAAGGGCAGGAGCCGGGCTGGTTGGGACGCTGCGGATGAAGCTGGGGAGCAGCCTTGCAAGGCTGGCGGGATACCATTTGGGGGCTTGTCATTTGACGGAAACCAGCATTCCCTTTGCCTTCCAGGGCTTGTGCTGCGTGTGCTGTTGCTACATGGCCAAAATGGCATCTTCTCCACCCAAGAGGGAGGTGGCAGCACGTTCAATGGGAATCCCAAAGTTTGCAAAAGGACACATAAAATAAGGGGAAAGCCCCTGATATTGTGGGGGAAAGAGCCCCAAAACAGCCCAATGGGGACTGAGCATGCCTGAATGGCTGAGGAATGTCACCAGGGGGGTGGGGGGTGGGGTGGGGTGGGGGGGCTGAAGAGAAACGGAATGGAGGGCCTGAGGCAGGACTGCAGAAGGATAGTTTGGCAAGAGCAGACCTTCTGCTTCACAGTCCAGAGAGTGAGAGACTTGCTCGCATTCAACCGAAGACTTAGGGGCATTTCTTTGAAACTGCCTTGTTTGTTTCTTTGTTTGCTGATTGCATGTAGGCGGCTTTGAAGAAAAAATGCTTTAAGTAACTCAATTAAGCAATCGCCATGTTCTCATGTAACACTAAACTACAAATTTGTACAATATGCACAAGCTTCTGTGAAAGCAAATGCAACTTTGCCTGGGCCGCTTCCTCTCCCACACAACTGGAAGGAAGGGCGAGCAAGGATTCAGCTGCAGCTTCTATGATACTTGGCTCGGAGTTACATAATGCAAGCAAGCAATAGTGGTTGCAACAAGCCAGCGAAGCAACCCATAATTTAAAGTTGGCTTGTTGAGAGACTGACTATAGTCTATTTTAAACCCTGAGTCCTCACCCTGACATAACAAGCCAAGTATCATAGAGACCTGGTTAAGACCCCTTCCCAGCTGTGTAAGGAGCCATGGTTTTGCTCAGGCCCAAACAGCAAAACACTAAAGCGTGGTTAAGTGTTCCATGTGAACTGGGTCATTCTGCTTCATGGGGCTTTGCAGAGCATGAAGTCCTTGTTCCATGGAACACAAATGCTCAGAAAAAGGGGACGACCTTCCTCATGAAAGGAGGGGATGGACTGGGTCTAGCACTATCTTTCAGGCGCTAGACCGAGTTGGATGCTACTCCAGAGAAATGCCAACACAATGTGAAAATCAGCATCGCTGAAAGGGGAAGGAAGGACCAGCTGATGTTCCGACTCACCATCGTTCTCACTCAGCACGGCATCGACGGAGGTGGGAAACTGTTCCCAGAGTGCACTGCTGACAAGGAAGCCTTCTTCCATGCGCTCCATGGCTTCATCGTAGCACCAGTGGAGACCTCCCTTGAAGAAGCAGGTTTTCCGGCCCAAAGGCCATAAGAAGGCACCATCAATGCCCCCTTGCGGTAGCCCAAAGTCTGTGACGGGACGAGGGTAGCCCTCTTCCACACCATTGTCCTTAAACACCCAGTAAAGCGGGCCTAGATACACCAGGGAAAATGGACAGTGTCTCGTGACATCCTAACAAGCCTAGCAGAGATCTCAAGTTTTCTTTGGCCTTCTCCAACCTTTTGGCAGACCACTTCCATTGCCCAGAGCCAGCATGTAGCTTTGCATGCTTGGAAGGTACCGGGATGTGGAAGGCTGTTGTCACCACATCTAATGTCCTTTTTATTTATCTATTTATTTATATTAGATTTCTATCCCACCTTTTTCCTTTTAAAGAATTCAAGGTGGTTTACATCAATCCCCTCCTCCTGCTTTCAGTCTTATCCCCAGAACGAGAACCCTGTGAGGCAGGTTGGGCTGAGAGTCTGTGACTGGCCCAACGTCACCCAGTTGGCTCCATGGCTGAGCGGGGACTCGAACCCGGATCCCCCGAGCACCAGACCTGCACTCTTAACTGCTGCAGCACAGGCATGTGAGTGTTGAGGGAAAGTGGCGAATGCAGCAATTGAAGGAAATCACAGAGTGTGATAATTACATAGAAGTGCACATGTAATCAAATCATTGCAAGGAACACACCAGTGTGCGAGCCAGTGTGGCGTAGTGGTAAAGAGCATGGGACTGGGACTCAGGCGATCCGGGTTCGAGTCCACGCTCAGCCATGGAGCCAACTTTGGCCCCAGGGTGGAAGGAGGATGCTCGCTGGCCCTGCCTGACCTGACCCGGTCCAGCAGGGCTTGAGGGGCCAGCAGGGATGCTGGAGTCAACTGCTCCCTTGCCCCACCCAGTATTTCCTGCCCCCTCTGCGCTTAGCTGCCAGCCTTTTCACAGTTGTGGGGGGCAGCATTAATCTTCCCAGCAACAACATTGTTCCTCCTCGTGACGCAAAGTATTTTGAAGGGTGTGGTCCTGAATAGGGAAATAAGATCCATTAGATTACAAAAGAAGCGCTGTGGTGGAGTGGAAATGATGACTACAGTGCATTTAGGACCTGCCCTTCTTCCTCTTGCAAGCAACCCAAGAAGCTTACAGGGTCTGGCGCTTTCCATTTTATCCAAGTGCCAAAACTGGTTTGGTTGATACTGATCAGCTCAACAGGCAGAATGTTTGAGCTTTGGGCCTGGATAGGAAGACCTTCCCGAAAAGCATCTGCATTTCACCATTGGCCACTACGCCAGTGCTCAGCGGGGCTCTCTCTTGACGCTCTTGCGCAGACCACCCCATCAGCACAGAGCCACGGCCCTCTTACCACTGAAGAAGAGGATGCGATGATCTGTAGGCCTCTCATACACCGCGTCGACTTTGCTCAGAGTGGACGGGAGGCCCCGCCAGAAGCCAGTGATCAGGGCTGGGCGCAGAGAAATGAGGTGCCGCTCCTGGCTCTGACGCCAGAAGTACCTACCTGCAACAGGTGGGGAAGGTGGGAAGGCAAGGAAGATGTTAAACCCTAGGCAAGTGAAGAAGCTGCTGACTTGCTAACTCACCACGCTGTCCAAACATATAGCGCCAATTCGGGCTCACTTGCAATGGCTTCCTGCATGGTTCTGAGTCTGCTTCAAGGTGCTGCGGGATATGCCGGAAGCCTTACATGGCTTAGGAGCACAGGACCGGATGGACCATCTTCCCTGGCTCATCTAAGGCCCTCCTTCCAGCACCTCTCTGAGGATGGCCCGGGGGGCAGGGCCAGGCCACATGGGGCTCTCCACATCTTGTGGCTGACAGCTTCCTTCAGTGCTAGTAAGCACAGCAGAGGATGGGAGCTGTCAGCCAAAACAAGTGGAGGTGCCCACTTTTGATCTGCTTTGATTGCTAGCAGCTCCTTGAGCTTCCAGGCGAGAGTTTTTCCAGGTCACAGAATCATAGAACAGTAGAGTTGGAAGGGGCCATGAAGGCCATCAGGTCCATTCCCCTGCTGTTGCAGGACACCGTTACACCACCCCACTCAGAGGGCTGCCCAGTTTCGCCTTGAATGCCTCTAGTGTGGGAGAGCCCACCACCTCTCCAGGCAGCTGGTTCCACTGTTGTTTTTTTTTTAATTTTGATTTATATCCTGCCTTTTTTCCTCAAAGGACTCAAGGCAGCTTACATCATTCTCCTCCTCCATCTTATCCCCACAAGAACAACCCTGTGAGGTAGGCTGGGCTGAGAGTCTCTGACTGGCCCAAAGTCACCCAGTTGGCTCCATGGCTGAGCGGGGACTCGAACCCAGGTTGTCTGAGTCCCAGTCCCATGCTCTTCACCACTACACCACACTGTTGTATTGCTCTGACAGTGAGGAAGCTTTTCCTGATGTCCAGCCTGAATCTGGGTTGTTGCAATTTGAACTGATTACTCTGTGTCCTACACTCCGTTAGCAGCAAAAAGAAATCTTGACCTTCCTCTTTGTGACAGCCTTTGAGGTACTTGTAGAGGGATATCATGTCCCCCCTCAGTCTTCTCTTCTCAAGGATGAGCATGCCCATTTCCCTCAGTCTCTCCTCATAGGGCAGTGTTTCCAAACCCTGGATCATTTTTGTTGCCCTCCTCTGCACCCTTTCTAATTTACCTGCATCTTTCTTAAATCTTGGTGCCCAGAACTGGACACAGTATTCCAGGAGAGGTCTGAGTAGTGAGGAGTATAGGGGAACTACTACTTCTCATGATTTGGAAGCAATGCTTCTGTTAATGCATCCCAAAATAGCATTTGCCCTTTTGGTGGCTGCATCGCATTGTTGGCTCACGTTTAGCCTATTGTCCACAATTACACCGAGACCTTTTTCTTTTTCAGTGCTTTCTGAAGATGGTCCTTTCTGAGGATGCCTGGATATAAACCTTGTACATGCAAAGCACTTGCTTTGGGCACCAAGCAGCTACAGGAAGATGCTGCTCCATATGTGAGGCCACAAACCTTTGAAAAAGAACGTTTCTCCTCTGATCTGTGCAATGGCATCAATGGTGGAGGTGCAGCGATCGGGGAATTCCTTCCCTGATCTGAAACAAAGAATTGGGGAAGGAGGGAGAGCAAGAGAGAGGGAGTAAGAAAGATAGGGAGAGATACTAAAAGCAGCTGATACCATGTGACTTTTCAGTGCTACTTCTATTTTAGTTGAGGATTAAATGTGCACTTCATTTGCTCCATCTGCTTCCCACGATCCTTCCATAAGGTCACCAGGAAACTCACAATGCAACAGCCATTTTGGAAGCAGCATAAAAGTATCTTAATATCTTAAGATTATATCTTAATCATATAAGCTGAGATCTGAATGAGACTTTCTTCCATTCACTGGGAAACTATGGCTAACTGTTTGAGGGGGTGGAACCAGATATTAAGCCAAATTTCAAACCAAGATTTAACTGCCTGGCTTGTTCTGAAGTTCTGAATCACAGTTTCCCAGCTTGGCCAAAATGGAAAACTGCAACTGGTGGGAGACATCTGGTTTGTTTGCAGACAGAAGAGTCAAGGGGCTGCGTGCAAGGCCAAAAGCTTGGCTCAGATCCAGGTCTATCAAGCTGAGATAATGATGTTCCTGACTGCGTGGCAATTTGAACCATGGCCTCCCCAGTCCTTATCTGACATTCTGACGATGGTACTGTACTTGCAACAGGAACTGGTCTATCAGCAAAATATCATAAATGCATTGAGCCCAAAGCCCGCAAAGCCACTTCAGCCCTGTTAGACAAGCGCAGCGAAATAGTCAGCCACAATGTCAAGCAGAAGCTGGGCCTCATCAGGGGCATCATCACCTCGAATTGAGCAGAAATGCAATACCGGGTTGCAGCCTTGCAGCCTTAAGTTTGTCACAAGGCCCCATTGCTGCAGCACCCAACCCTTAGGCTGCCAGGGACAAATGTGGGCGGTCTCGTTGAAGGAGTCGTTACTCCCAGCTTCAGTCTGGCCTGCTGGGCCAGTGCTGACAGCTTGGGGTATCCTGGAAAGATACTTCAGGAGATGGACTGCACTGGGCGTCCAGTTGGGCCACATGTCCAGCATGGAAGGAACATGTTCATTTTATTTATTTATTTGGGTATTTTCATCCCGTCCAATTATGACACATCTCTGGATGGCTTACAAACAGAACACCCAATAAATACATATAGTAACCCATAATAATCCACAACAGAGAATAAAACTAAAACATTTAAACTTTAAAATTATTGGAAAATTAAAAGGTCTTGACCTGGCACCAAAAGGCATATAGCATGTTAGTCTTTCAGGAAAACTCACATTTTTCAAAAGGCCCTTTTTTCCATTTGCTACCCTTTCAGTTTACCAAACAGAGCGTAGGAAGTTGCCAAGGTGGCCCTGGTGTGGGCAGGGAGGGTCCAGGCCGCTCTGCGGTACGAAGTCATGCCACGGTGGTGAAGCAACTGCCTCTTCCAGGTGAAGCCACCTGCCGCCTCACTCCTGGGAGTGGAATGCAGATGCAGAGCTGCTGGGAACAGCGCTTCTGGGATCAAAGGAGGAGCCAGGGCTCAGTGTGCCCCGAAGTCATTGGTGGCCCTTTCCTTACCTTTCCCAAAGTGCATTGTGCAAAAGGTACTTTCTAACCTGAGGGCTGGGAAATCAGGAGGCAAGGAGAGAAGGTCTGGGAGCAGCGAGGTTACGTCTGGCTTCTCTGTGGAATGAGGAACTCGGCTCCCTTATACAGAAATAGAAGTAACAGAAAAATAAGAGAGGCGGGAGAGAGAAAGAGAGAGAGGTTATTAATGGTTACACATGAAAATAGGTAATATATTTCCAGGACCAGGAAAATACAGTGAAATAACAGGTGGAAATAGTGAGTGTTCCTTGGAAGCAGGTCCACTGCAAGCCACAGGGAGGCCTACCAGGTGCCTTCATGGCCACCTGGAGACGGGCAAAGAGATGGCTGGAATCTGTATTGACACTGGTCCTGTTTCTGACATGGCAGCCGTGTCCACATACAACAATACGTCAGGATTTTAAGCTTATTCTGGCTTCCCATGAATAACTAGCTTGTAGTGCGGAGGCCAGCACACTCTTCCTTTTGGGCAGGCAAGTAAAACTAATTAGGGAGGGATTTGCATAGCACGGCTCCCAGCCCTGGGATCTGGATTTGTTGCTCCCAGAGAAACTAGGATCATGAACCAGCCGTAGATGCAAGGGGCGAAGGAAGAAGTGGAGTGGCAGTGTGAACCAGGGTGCTGCTCATTCACAGGAAGCCAAGGTAAGCCAGGAATCATCATGGACTCAAGCTACAGGAAGCCAAATTCCAGCTGAACCTCAAGAAAAACTTCTTGACTGTTACCGTGGAACCAGTGACCCAGGGAGATTGTGGCCTCTCCGACACGCAAGATGCAACTGGACAGCCAGCTGAGAGGGATGGTGTAACTTGGAGTCCTGCAGGTGGTTGGACCCGATGGCTCTCTGGCCTGCTGCAGCTCAACTACTCTGCGGTTGAACCTGATGCCCTTCTAGCACCCTCCAGCTTGACAGTTCTATGATTCTGTGTGCAAAGGCAGCAGGTAAACTGGCACACGTTCCAACAGCACAACCAATGCAGCAATTTAAAAATGTTACAGTCCGCTTCCGTGCTGGCCAAGTGGAATGCAACCATTAAAAGTTCTGCTGCATCTCTTAGAAAATTTAAGAACAAAAGTCAGTCATGATGGTCCCTGAGTAAAAATTCCAAACTCCACAGACAGGGCCAGCCAAAGTTCAGCAGCAGACTGCATGCATTCCAAATTGTCCAGAATCTTCTAGGGTTCTTCTCTTCCTTCCAGAATACCAGAGGCAGACCTTGACGCATGGGCCTCTTGTCTCTTCTGCACTTTACTGAAGACATGCCTGCTAATGAGCAGTAATTGCTTTTTCCAAAAGTTTCTGCCCCACCCTGAGTTAGGGCTAAGTTTTCCTGCACTGTGTGTTTTTCCACAATTCATACAAAGAGCTGTTAGGACTGTCTGACCATTAGAAGGCAGATCAGATGATCCTATCAGGCCCCTTTCCATGGATCAGGAGAAAATGCAGATCTGTTAATGTAATTCAGCTCTGTTAGGAATTGCCCAGTTGGAAGAAGGTACATATGTGCAAGATTAACAGCTCTTTGGCCATTATTGGGAGTATTATCACTTTTATATCCCATTCTTCCCCCCCACACTTCCAGGGAACACGGGCTGCTCAAGCAACATAGGCTGAAAAAAAGGTTCTCCTTTTTCCCTTTTATTCCCACAACAGCCCAAGGAGGTTGGTCAGGATGGCAGTCAAAGACTGGCCCAAAGTCTCCCAGGAAATGCCATGGTCGACCGGAGACTAGAACCCTGAATCGTCCCACTCTGACATTCTAGCCGTACTCTGTGGAGCCAGCGCTCTCCATCATCCCCCTTAAGGGACTCATCTGACATACAGCAGGACATTCTCTAGGCTCGACAGATTTGGCTGAGGTTGTCCCCAAGGCAGATCTGTGAGGCTGGGCTCCCCCAGTGCCACACATACCATAAAGCTTCTGGATCTCAGTGCGATCAACCATGTGCAGCTGGTACTGCAGTGGGTCTCCCACTGGTCCTTGGTAGTAGGGGCGCATGATGGAATGCTTGGAAGGAGAGTGCACAAGGCCGAGGCTGTGGCCAAACTCATGCACCGCCACGGCAAAAAGGTCCGTGCCAAAGTCATCTGTGAAGAGATGAGAGTGACTGGTCAAGGAGACAAAGCATGGGAGAAGGGATCCCAAAGGCAATGATGCCCGGGGTGATTCCGCGCAGAACCCAAAGGGACAGCATCCCACCTAATCTGATCACTTGCCGCAAAGCAACGCACCGGCCTGCCCATAACCCAGATGGCTGCATCAGAGGAGAAGAAACGCAGGAAGATGCCTCCAGAGTAACGATTCCCAACGGGCCAAACAAAGAAACCAAATGGCCCTAAGGAGCTCTGCCCAGCCACTGCTCCAAACGTGGCTCTCGCCTAGACCTGAGCCAGTTCCAGCCCTGCACCCACTCATGGGCTGTGGTCCTGCTGCCACCTCTTCACCAACACTGGGCAGCATCGTGGCAGCAATTTAAGAGGAAAATGAAATGAAGTCAGTAGTTTGTTGCCAAATTTTGGCTGCAAGAGACTATGGAAGCTACAGCAACATTCTGAGGACAGGGATAGTTTGTTTTCAGTTTAATCTGCTTGGTAAGCTGCTTTTTGCTGCCCTGGGCATGAAAAGGAGCTACATCCCAGTACATGAACCAGGAAGACTCCAGTCATGATGCACCGCCTCTGCTGCCAAAGGTTCATCCTCCCAAGATTAACACGCACTTAAACCCTTCCATTTCCCCTAGAAAGTTGAATCACCTGGTGAACGGAAGGTCCATTCCTCATCACCATCAAAGTGGACATTGCCAGCCCTCTGGGGGTCTCCAGGAAAGAAGGCATGGGCCACCATCCCACCGGGTCCATCAAAAGGGTAGCCATCACGATGGTCCAGTCGGAGGAACTCAACAGAGATGTCAGCGCTGTGGCTACCCACCTCGTGGAAGTTCAAGGATGTGGCTTCACTCCAAACCTTTAGGGCGTAATACATCAACACACGCATGGTCTCTCGGCTAAGATGGGCTTCTCGTGGGTAGGTTTTCACCCTATGGTAGAGTCAGTGAACAGATGGAAGCAAGTTCCTCACTCCAGGAGTAGGCAGACTTCGGACTTGTACAAACTCTTTTCCTTTTTACCAGAGTTCAGTTCAGACAACATTTCAAGAGCAATTCACACTGCGGTCATTACCAACCCCTGCATGTAGGTTCTCATGCAATCGGAGTCTAGTCCTAGCTGCCTGTGGTTCCCACACTGGCACATGGAACACCAGGAATGTAATTCGGGCCAGGATGGACTGAAGTAATTATAAACTTGTGCTCCTTAAAGGATTATGATGAGTTCTAAAAGTAGCTGCCTGTGATATCCAAGCATCTGGTAAGCCCGAGAGACACTTTGGAGTTGATGGACACATTTCTTAGTATCTGAACATTTCTCTTCCTTCCACAGAGCCTTGAGGGCTGTGATGGATCAGATCCTTGCTGGAAGCGAGTGCCTGCCATTTGGTTAGTTAGTTAATCTTTGGCTGAGCAGCATGTTGAATGCACCAGTGAATGTTAACATTCCGGTGTTCGAGCTCAAGACTCTGGTGCCAACTGGAATCCATTGCCCAATCTGACTGCATTTTGCAAGGGCTAAACAATTTGGTTGCACAATGTATTTTCCGCACTCCAAACATATTTAGTTATCCCATTGTTAATTTGTCTTGCATTCTGATGTGATTTGGTTTATGCGCTCACCACTTCTGCAGCCCAGTTCCTCAGTCTGAAAATGAGTGTTCTTTCTGAAATTCTGAACCAACTCGCCTCAGAAATTCTGCAGTGTTGCTTGTCTCCTAGCTCCCCCTGGTGCTACTTTGGGAGGGTAGGAACACAGGAAGCTGCCACATACTGAGTCAGGCCCTTGGTCTCTCTAGCCTAGCATTCTTGACACGGACTGGCAACAGTGGCTCTGCAGGGATGTAGGCTGAATTCTCTCCTAGGCCTACCTGGAGGTGCCAGATAGGGACTGAACCAAGCTGGGCTTTCTGCCTTGCAGGATGTGAGCTTTGCACGTCAGGAATTCCACTGACTCCCTGTGATGTGTCTGATGGAGCCGCAAGGGCACCTGGTCCAATCTCAGCTGGTGAGAGTGGGATGCACTGAACAAAAGGAGCTAAAGGTCCAATTCAGGAGAAGGCAGGCTCATAGAATCTCACTTTCTAGTACCGAATTGAGTGCCTCTGTGCTGATGGGCTTGGAACCCAAATGAACCTGCTGAGAAGCAACAGGTGAATCCCCAGAATATGTAGAAATACAATAAGACGGTTTTATAATGTCTACGCACAAAAACAGCCTTGGGGAACCTGAGCATGCTCTGTGATGACCACCGAAGGCCTTGCTTTTTCTTCCTCTCTGGAGTAATGCAGGGGGATAAGTAATGCTTGGGGGATAAGGGTCCTTTGACATCCCCCCACAAAGTGGGCCCAATCCAGATGCTTGCAATGTGTATTGCTAAATTGCAATCCATGTACCAGATCACAACTTGGCAATATAAAATGCAGTCCCATCTTCCCAGGTCTGGAAAGGGTTAAGGCCTCCATCCCCTGAGCTCAAAAGAAGGAGAAGGAGAAGATGATGGCAGCACAGAACTGCTAGCTATGCCTTTGATGTTTGGTTTGGCTGGAAAAGAAAAACATAAACCCACGCGGGGGTGGGTGGGAGTGAATTGGCCGTCTTGAGCTTTTAACAGCTTCTCACATCCCAGAGGAAGGGGCAGCTGGCTGGAACCCTGATCAGGAGGCACCTTTCTTAGGGGATGGCACTATGCTGTAATACTGGGGTGCTTGAAGGGCACAAGCACCTTAAACTCAGGCAAGGAGCTAAGCAGCGTGCAGAAGGACACGCTTCCCTGGGTCGCTGCCAGTCCAAACAGAACCAAAATTCCTTCCCAGTTCAAGAGCCAGCCTATCTTCCCACCATGCCTGCGTGTTGATACCTACTTCCAGGAGATGTTCCTCTTCATCCAAATGGGTCCTGCACTCCTCCTACTCCGACTTTTCCTCCTCCTGCGCCTTTTCCTCCTTTCACTTCTCCTCAGAGGGAGGTTTTCTGGGAAGGTGGCAATAATATCAGGCAATGAACAGCGAGGCATTCGGATGAGCGCTAACGTGGCATCATCTGTTGCAATGCAATGGAAGAGAATTGAGCCAAGCTCAGTTGTGTGGCTTGCTGTAATACCAAAGTCTTCAGAACACAGCTAGATCGTCATCCTTCCACAGAAAAGACATAATTAAGAAAATCCTGCAGAGATGTTGAATCAGTACCACCTCCCTTCTCCTGGTCTCTACCATCAGCAACTGCTGCTTTGATGCATTTTTCCTCCTATTCTGAAGTTTGAAATGCCTTTCCTAAGGGTTGGTCTCTGGTGAGAAGAGCTGTAAGCTAAAAAAAATGCTGGCAGTACCCCAAGATCCCTTTCACAAGTGCTGCTCTACAGCCACTTGTCCCCTAACCTGTACTTAGGACACCCATTCCTATGCCCCAAGTGCAAGACCTTGCACTTATCCGCATTGAACGCCATCCTGTTGTCCCCTGCCCACTTCCAGAGTCTGTCCAGATCTTTCTGGATCCAGAGTACCTGCTCCTCAGTTGTGGTCATCGCCCCCATTTTAGTACCACCTGTGAATTTGATCAGCAGATTGGTCACCCCCTCTTCCAGGTCATTGGTGCAAAGACTGAACAGGATTGATCCCAGGACAGAGCCCTGGGGGACCCCGCTCTTCACGGGCCACCATCCCAATGACTCTGCTCTTGGTCCATCAACCATGCTATAATCCATTAGACAGCGCATCAGTATATCCCAAAGCTCCTCAATTTCTCAACCAGGATATCTTGCGGCACTTTACCAAAGGCCTTGCTGGAATCCAGGCAGACCACATCTGCCGTGTCTAGCCACCTTGAAACCTTGTCATAGAATTCCAGAAGCTTGTTTTGCAGGGCCTGTTTTAGCCGAAGTCATGTTGGGCAGCCGCCAGCCTCCCTTCTCTTTCTAGGGGTACGACATCTTTCCTTATTATTCCAAGAAGGCTAGCTTTAATCTTTCGCTGTTTTCCATTTTCAGTATGGAAAGCTGTTACTGTGCTTTATTTTGATATCAAGGAGGATTGCAGACATGTGAGCATCCATGGAACCCTGAAGTTACTAAGAGAAGGAGCAAGGATTTGACCTAAAGACTCTCCATTCCTGTCAATCAAACATGAGCTTCAGCATAGCTGTAGTCCACAGGAAGATGCTGAGCTCTACCAATGGTAGTCACACTTGACCGTAATCAATCACCACGGCAACCAGACTGGAAAAGGGTCTGGAAACCAACTCCAATGATGAATGGTTGGAAAAGCCAGGTCTGCTTTGCCCAAAAAAGATGATGATGGAGGGGGAGGAGGAGGGGGAGAGATTAAGGGGAGACAGGATATCCCCAAAATATTGGAAAGGGTGTCCTGCAAGAGATGGAGCATACCTGCTCTCTTTGGCATCAGGGGGCCAGATTGGGTGGACACTGCAGAGAAGCAGATTCAGCTGCATGTTAGGAGAAGCTTCCCCATGAAAGTTAAGAGCTGCTTTGAAAGTGAAACTGACAGCTGGTGGGCTCTCCTTCACATGAGATGAGATCCAGTGTGGCGTAGTGGTTAAAAGCATGGGACTGGGACTCAGATGATCTGGGTTCGAGTCCCCGCTCGGCCATGGAGCCAACTGGGTGACTTTGGGCCAGTCACAGACTCTCAGCCCAACCTACCTCACAGGGTTGTTGTTGTGGGGATAAGATGGAGGAGGAGAATGATGTAAGCTGCCTTGAGCCCTTTGTAGGAAAAGGGCAGGATATAAATTGAATAGAAAAAAAAAAAAACATGTTGGCTGGGGCATCCTGCATTTCAGAGCTGGATCAGATTGACCTTTTCCAATCTGTTGCTCTCTAGATATTTTGGGGCTCCAATTCCCATTGGCCCTAACCAAAATAGCCAATTCAGGACAGGAATTCAGGAAGTGTAGCCCAAAACATCCCTCAAAGGCCTGCAAGATCACTTCCGACTGCTATGCTTCTGACATTCCGGCAGGAAAGGCAGCCTGTCGAAGCACGGAGGTAGCCAGTGAGGACTGGCAGGCACTAGAAGCCCCTGGAATGTTGCAATACCTGGGATCCCCGTCTCCGCGATGCCTGCAAAATGCTGCATTACACGGATGGCGCTGGTCACTGCCTCCCAGGTCTGCAGTTGGCCTGTCACCGGATCAGCAGGGGGAAGGTATCCATACTGCGTCAGCCACTCCTAGGCAAAGGCGAGAGGCAGAGAGCACGGCTCAATCAGGGCAGCTTCACCCTTCCTTCTAGGCATCTCCAGCCCCCCCAGCTTGAGACTGAGTCTCTTACACTCCCAGGCAGTTTCATGGGTGGCTTTGTCTATCACAAAGAAAGTGCCATTCTTGTGCTAGATGTCAAACATGAGGTGTGCATGACCACATGGGGCCCGTTTCATTCCCAATGCACCGGCTGAATCTTTTTGCATGCAGAACTAAACAGATATTTAAGGTAGTTCTTCAATAGGCTGACCCCCACTATGACTATTAACGGCCTATGAGAGGCATTATTTTGCCTTCCTCACAGCTATGCCTTTTTATTTTTTTACTTTAAGGTAGGTGCAGGGAGCCTAATACAAAATTGCAACCCTACTGAGTAGGATACGGGAGTTTTAAGATCTAGATGGCTCCCCTAGGATCCCAATCCAGCCTTCCACACACTGCTCCTCTGGCACCAAGTTTCTACTCCTTGAGTAGAATTACTATCACCAGCACACCGGCTAGGTATGCTGGGAGTTGCATCCAGCCCATTTGGAGGGCCCACAATTGGCTGAAGGCTCCTTGTAACGGATGGCTTCCCAGTTATTGCAAGGGATTCAGTTCCCTGGGCTCCACTATGCTCTAGGCATGACTCACCACGATCTCGCCACTCTCATCTGCAGGATGGGCACAGGACGGCAAAGCCGGAAGCAGCAGCCACAGGACAAGAAGCAGGTGCGTGGAGAGCGGTGGCAGTGTCTTCTCTTCCCTGCACCACAGCTGGCACAGCTGCTTCATGAGACGTATTTTGGGCAAGCACACTTTCCTGGCCTCCATCCAGCTGGCATGTGAATGCTTTGGTTGGGTTCCTAATAAAGACTCCCAAAGTAACTTCCACAACTCAGCTGGGCTGAGCCTATTTGACTTGGAAAGCGTCACAGGCAGCTCCAGTTCCAGGCTGGGGATCTAGGAATAGCATTGTTGTGTTCCTTGGGTTGGTACTTGGGCACCCAGACACAAGCATTTCTCCAGATGCAAGCATCACCTCCCACACCTGGGTCTAAGCAGAGGAAAGGAGAGGGACAGATACAGATCACAGTGCTCCTGCGCGGTTCATTTGACAAGTATACGAGGTAAGAGTACGCCCTGGTTTCTAGCAGTACATAGCACCATCTCCAGTCCACCCCAGATCTGGACATTTGACTGCACTAACCCACAAGAAGAGTGACTGGACCAAAGGAATCCAAGTGGCAGGAGAACAGCATGAGCTTTAACCACGTGTGGTGTTAGTTCAGTAAAAATCTGGGTAGGGCGTTTCCAAGGGATTTCTCTACAGGTATGTACGGTGTTGTTGTTTTTTAATTCCTTCCAGATTGGTTTACTTTTAATACATTGTAAATTTTGTAGTGGTGATGGATTTTCAGAAAATTGACCTGAAAAAGTAGCTGATGATCTGGGACTAGGCCCAGAGAGATATCTAGTCAAACTTTCTCTCAGTTTCACATCACAGAGATGTGAAAGCTTGGGAAATAATGGTGGGGGGGGGGGCATTGCCTCCCAATTTCTTCAAACAATGAGGGGGAAATTATCTCACCTTCTTCTCTCCCCACCCCCAGCTTAGGCTATCACATTTCTCGCCATTAAGCTTATCAGATGACATTGGACTAAGGTAGCTTATCCTACCTCAAAGGGCTGTCATGGATAACATGGACTGAAGGAGGGGAAGAACTATTTACAGTGCCCTAAACTCCTAGGATAAAAGGTGAGATTGGCTAATAATAAGTGAATAAACCAGATCAATCCTAATGAAAGGACTTGTGTGTTTTGAGAGCAGATCATGGCAGGGAGTTTCATTTAGCTTGAAACGGATCAGGTGAAGAAAGAAGATATCAGCAAGAAAAGGAAGCTAGGAGAAGGAAAAGTTGTCAGATTACGGGGACCTCTCCCCTGACTGCCAGTTCAGCTCTTAACATATTATCTGGATCAGGATTTCTGGAACCTGCCATGGCAACTAATGTTAGCAGACCAGGATTCAGCTGGAGCAAAACCATTCATGTTTTCTGCCCCCCCCCCCCCCCATTTATGCTGATCTGCTGGTGCTGATTAAGTTGTGTCAGAACCAGCTTTATCATGAACAGGAATAATGCCTTCATTAAGATATTTCCAAAAACAATCTCCAGGAAATGTCCACATCTGTTTCTACAGTTTGGGAAGAATGGCCAAATCCACAGCCTGGACAGGCAAACCTCCCACCCAGCTGCCCCCGGCAGGTTCTATTCTGCCTGCTTGCTGCTGACTTTGCCAGAATAGTTGGGCAGAGAGAAAAATAGGAGACTTTGCACAAAAACTAGATATACTAATGTCAATGTACTGAAGTAGATCTGGAAACTACCATATAATAGAAGTGCAATTTATGTCCCTCTAACAGGGAAGATTATGGCTGCAACTTGAAGGCCCGGCTGCTCTTGCTGCTTAGGACTTGGCCTGGATGGCCCCTCAGACAGTCGGCTGCCCTCTCCAAGGCAGGGCACATGGCCAGCCTAGCACAAAGCCACGGAATACAGTGTGCAGCGTATTCATGCATCCCACCATTTTTAGCATGGTGAGCCAGAATGCCCTTTAATTTCAGAGCACCGTGTAGTCCAGTCTTCTCCCAAGCAGGTGCCCTTCAGATGTTTTGGACTAGACGTCCAAGGATTTGTAGCAACTGGAGATGATGGGATTGAGCTCCAAAACATTCTAAGGGCCCAAGGCTGGGAAAGACGGGTGGAGCCCAAGAATGGAGGGGGAGGCAAAAGGCCTTCCAGAAGTTGGACTGAAACACCCATCATCTTTCACGACTGTCTATGCTGGCCGGAACTGATGGGAGTTGCAGCCCAACCACTGGATGGACACACCTTTTCTACCTCAATGTATTCCCCACCCACCCCATTCAGGTTGCATCTTTTCTGTGACTGTTTGGGCATTTATGATCCTGAAGCAATCGATCAATCCTGTCCGCAAAGACCAGGAATTCCAGTTCAGCTCTAGGGACTACGGAGTTCAGAGATCTCAGCGCAGCTCTTGTCCTTGCCCTGTCACCACCTGCCTGCCTCAGCCTCCTTCCCTTCCCTCTGCCCCACACACAAGACAAACATGTCACCAATCTGCATCCCAAGCTGCTTGCACAGATGAAACAGTGATATGCCTCATTCAGTTCTTGGGTATTCAGCTCCTACCTTGAGCCACTACCTGCTCAAGATGGATGCTTTGCTCAGAACTATTTTGTCTGGTCCACATTTTGATGCAAATGGACCTGATCTGCACCTCCTGGACTAATGTGTAGGCTGAAATGCAGTCATGCTTCAGTTCTTGCACTTCTCTAGATTTTGTACTCCTTTTTTCCTCAACAGAGGCCTCAAATTTCATATACAGATCTGTTTGAAAATACAGTCTTTGCATGAAAAATTATGAATGCCTATTTAAACATGAATTTCCTTTCTTTCTTTAAGTCCTAGAAAATGCATGAAATTGACAGATAAATGAACACAAGAAATGGACTAGATGGATCCATCCATCCATCCCTGTGCTCCGCCTTCTTTCCACACTAGAAACACCACCTCTGCCATTGTGTACATCAGCCTTCTCCAACCTGGTGCCCTCCAGATGTTTTGGACTAATAGTCACATCAGCCCCAGCCAGTGTAGCCAACACTCAGAGATCACAGAACTTGTAGTTCAAAATGTTTGGAGGTTGCCAGGTTGGGGAAGGCTGGTGTATGTGCTAAGAATTCCCAAGAATGAACAAGACCACCCCCAGCCTCCCCCCTCCTCATTTCAACTGGCCCCCTTCCATTTCCCTTCATCTAATTTTCCTCTTTCCGTTTGTAATCCCACATTGGACGTCGCTGGGAATTTAAAAGAGTTATCTTCATTTCAGGATTATAAGAGGGAAGCCCTTACGCGTCCAAAACATGCCAGAACAAACACACACATAAACATCTCCCTCTCCTCCTGGCTGGTTCCCAAGGCTCCAATTCCACTCCTCTTTTCTTCCTTTAACGGGGGTCCTTCGGCAGAGGTAATCCAGAGAGTCCCTCGCAAAGCAGCCCTCGAACTCCCTCTTTTCAACATGGGGCAAAGAGCCAGCCCACTCCGCAGAGAACCTGGCTGCCCCGCCGTTATTGCTCTAATCTGCTTTGCACAACTTAATAAACAGCTGCAAACGTCGCCTGGCTTTGCACTTAACCGTTATTGCCTCCGCTGACCCCCCCCCCCCCCCCCCCCCCCCCCCCCCCCCCCCCCCCCCCGCCCACCGACTTCCACTCACTTCCACGGCTTTAAAGTGTATACACACATACACGCAACCGCTCTGTTGCTGGAACATCTCAGAGAATACCTATTTCTCACCCACGCGCACACAAACCTATTCCGTATGCACGCACATTAGTATTATCATTTAAGAATTAGCATGCTAATTATTCGTCACGCGTGGCGAATTTCCCGAAATCGGCTTCCTCTGCACGCCCAGGCGCGCGCACGACCGGACGGTCCCGGGATTTAGTCCGGGCAAGGCAGCAGAACCCCGCTTCCCCGCCGGGCCGCGAGCCCCACGAAGCCGGAGCGCCCGTCCAGCCCGTCGGGAAACTCCGACCTGTGCCCGCGTGGCCCCACGCGCCCCACGGAGGGGCCGCGCGCCCCGGCGCCGGCGACCTCACCCGGGAAAGGGAGCGGGCTCCGGGCGCGCAGCTGCGAGGTCGGCTCCGCGCTGGGACTCGCCTCTGCGAGGCCAACTTTCTCTCCGGCTGCGGCGTCGCCTGCAGCCGCGCCCGGCCGGCACACGCGCTCCCGCCGCCGCCGCCGGTTCCTGCGCTGCGCGACCCGCCGCGCTCCGCCCAGAGCGCTCCGGGAAGGCGCCGAGCCCAGCACGTCCTCCGGGGACGCGCTTCCCGCGGAGAGCAGGGAGGGGCCGCCCAGCCCGAGACCGGGCGCGCTCTCGGACAGCGAGCCGGGGAAGGAGGGGCTGCAGCCGAGGAGGGGCGGGGGCGGCGGAAGGGATCGGGGCCCGAGAAGGCCTCCTGGCTTGGACTCCCTCCGTCGCCTCCAGGGCCACGAACACTGCTTGATGCTCAGTACTCTGATGGACCATATCCAATCGCATCATTGACAGGTGCCGCCGAATAAAGCTTTGAAAACTCCAGATTCTCTCTCTCTCTCTCTCTCTCTCTCTCTCTCTCTCTCTCTCTCTCTGTGTGTGTGTGTGTGTGTGTGTGTGTGAGAGAGAGAGAGAGAGAGAGAGAGAGAGAGAGAGAGAGAGAGAGAGTCAAACAACATGAGGGGGAAACACCCTAAGGCGTCAAGGGACCAATAATTCAAAATAATCTAATAAGGAAGGAGCAGCTTCTGTGCTATTGAATACTGGCTGCCTATTGGGGTAAGGAAGGAACAAGCAGGAGGAGCTAACAGGCTGGTTGGGACCTTGGAGGGGCGCAGACATTCCCTGTTTGACCCCTGGCATCTCCAGAAACCCCTGTCTGGAGAGGCCCAGAAGAGCTGCTGCCAGTCAGTGCTGACCTTATTGGGCAAAATGGAAAAAGGGGCTGCCTGGCTATCAGGCCCTTCCCGGTCCCATTGCTTTTGTTCTGCTTTGCCCAGCCATGGAGCTCATTGGCTGACTTTGGGCCAGTCACGGGTTCTCAGTCCAGCCGACCTCACAGGGTTGCTGTGACAATCACACTGCCGGGGGAGAATTGTAACTATGTTGAGTTCCATGAAAGGAAAAAAAGATGAGATATAAATATAATAAATAAATAAATGTATAGAAATGTAGCAAGCTTTTGAACGACTTTACTGAACTCATTGTTTAAAC